TGTTTTGTGTTCCAAGTGGTACAGGGGTGATCAGACTGAACCTCTGAAGTGCCAAGGAGAATTCCAACTTGCTGACCATGTGTGGTCGTCGCACTTGTTCCCACTCAATTCACCAGTTGTTGGAAAGAGCCAGCTTGCCAGGGCAGTTGTACAGTATTTTAAAATGTAAAAATCAAGTGATGAAAAAATGTAATAAAGCTAGGCTCTACATAGCACTCAAATGATTAGTATCCTGTTCAAACGGAACAGAACTGGATTTTTGGTCCTTCTCTGAGATCACAACATGCAGGGCCCGTCAGGGCCCTGCTCTCGCCGCCTCATCTTCCGATCCCGGCGACGCAACTGGATCTGGGCCTGGCACTGGTCAACTCAGCGGCGTTCCGCAGGTATTTCAATCTTTACTTCCTTAGACGATTTGGAAATACATAATACATGTATATGATATAATATATATATATATATAATATATATGTATAATATATATATATATTATAATATATATATATATAATATATATATATAATATATAATATATATAATATACGCTATATATATATAACTACACAGTAGTATATTATATGCATATTGATGCGTTTTCTCTTGCCTGCACTTTCGGAATGTCCCGTCTTGTCTTGTCGTTCCATGCCTGGACCCTTGTTAAACAAGCCAAATGGGAACCGATGGCTCAAACTGCTTGGGAACTTCGGCAATGGCATACCTGCAGTTGAAATGATCTCGGAATGCTGATGTAACCAGTATCAAATTGGGTGTTGTACATACATGATGTACATAGGCATACAATGTAAATATGAAGGCTGTTCGTTATTGTTTGCAGAAACTGGCTCGCTCAGGTTGACACATCAAAGTACTCTTGTTGAAAGCGCTAAGGAGAACCAAATCGACGGCCTTGAGCAAAGCACCATGGGGTTGGCTGAGAATGTTTGTTCACATCACCGCATTCAATTGAACCCCGTGCAGACTCTGCTTGCAGGTCTGCAAAGTACTAGCAACATGTTTGTTCTTCTAGCTTAGAAAGCCATTTCAAGGAAATACATCAACAAGTCCACTCCCTCTTGCTGGAGTCCCGCATCACAAATTAGAAGCTCCAAAAACGCCTTGTGTTCAAAGTAGACTTAAGAGAAGTTCAAAGTTTCGGAGCATCATGTGGGGGTCGCTTCCACTGCAATGGGTAATCTGATGAGTATTGCAAGTTGTGGACATCAAACCGAGCAAGTGACTGACACCTAAACTGCACTTCTCACTTGTGCGAACAAAGCTTGATTGTGACATTTACGACTGTCTGCTTTTCGGCATTGGCCCCCGCACCCGCTCTCCCGCATTGAAAATTGCTACCATGGCCTCAAGTCATTACCAGGTAGCAAATAAAACCGCACAGGGCAAGAAAGCGAAAGAACGGGCATGATGGGGGGTTAGCCAGAATTCTCACTCAGAATACATTTTGTCTGCATCATTAAAATCCCAAACCAGTGGCCTCTGGTATGTCTTGGAAGCTATTGCAATGACAGCAAATTCGGCAAAACGAATGGAGCTTTCAGGCTGGAACGAAGAAAAAACCATGCACAAATAGAAAGAGCTTGCTTCAAACATCTTCAAACCATGTAGCTCCAATAAAAACATTGATTGAATGTCTCGATTCAACTGCCACTTCTAGACCCTTCACAATTCCACAAAAAGTTGGCATTCAACCACTCAAGTCACTTCAAGTCACTCATATTTCTGCCATGCCACTCCCATCAACTTCCTGGCATCTGTGGAATTGGTCACGTTCAGCTCCTGCCGCAGCGAGAGGAGAAGAATGAGATCATAATGAGCGCCAGTGAGATCCAAAGATTCCAAAGACTGGAACACTATCAGACCTGCTGTATACCAGTTACATCCAGTTATAACAACTGCGGGTCACAAAGGCAACCCAGAACTTGGTGCAATGCTGCATTATCCAACTCTTCCTGAAAGAGCGGCGTCATGTGGGAACTTGCGTCTGCCGTCTCAGGTGCCTCCACCTCCATCCAATACAAAAGGTCGCAAACAGGAATCAAAGGATAGACTCATATAGTAGCTGAATAGCTTTCAATATATACATGCTTATAAAATTCGAGCGAATTGTGTTGTATGCAGGCGCCAACACACAACAAGTAAGTGGTTTCAAGTCTCCTAAGATCTGTGAACAAATCCTTTAATTTCCCTCCAGGAGAGGCCAAGATAGACCCCTGAAACATACGTACTTTACGAATTGTTGGATTTGACATTCCTCAACTGCCCATCCAGACCTCTGCGTCGGCTGCAACTGGGCCGGGCACACTGTGAGAGGTGGTGAGGTTTCACTTGGATGGACTCTTCAGCATAGAATATTTGACACATTTTGACACGTTACCCCATCAAGAACCCCACTTTGCAGTTGTTCTGGTGTAAAGCAGCCAGACACCAATAGAGTTTCATGCTCTGCATCCACCAGAGGGTCACAACATGTCACAACTATGAAATCGCACGAAGGTCTTCCTCTTTCAACATCTTTCAACTACACAACATCAACAGGCTCCTGGATGCCAACTAGATTGCGTGGCATGAAAATGTTCTCGTTGACAGACTTCGATTGCTTTCAAAAAGCATCGTTTAAATTCACTCAAAAAGCAATGCTGACCCCACTTCCCACTCTGCCTTCCTCTGCACGACGAGAAATGGAACTCAACTCAGTCCTCCAGTACTTCTACAAAGGTGCATCCCCATCTGTCATGACTTCTTCGCTCTTTTTTGTTGCAAGAAATCCCTTCAGCCAGGCTTGCTGCAAATTACTATGTTCTTGCAACTCTGCAGACTCACACAATATACACACAACTCTGCACTCACCCAAGAGACACAAATCATGAGGGAATATATAATTCCATTGGTGCCACCCAAAAAGAGTCAGCCCAAAGTCTTCAGAATATGTATATATATATATATGTATTAAAAGAAAAGGCAAGGGCAAAGCAAAACTCAAGAGGGAGTCCTGACACAACCTCCAAAGGTCGGAGACCTCAAATTGATAAGGACACAGCAAACTTTGTCAGATATCACAAGGCTGAAAGTGTCTTTTCTTCCATCGGAATACGAAAAATGTTCAAACTTGTGGTTTTGAGTATCCATTCTCCAACACAAAACAACGCAGAGTTATGGGAGACTACAGAACGCGCAAACAATCATCAGAGGACAATTCACTGGATTGCAGGCCTCCGAGATTGCCACACAACGCTGAGCATCCCAGGCTGAACGAAAGAACTACTCAGGTGACCAATAGCAGCTAGGCAAACCTTAGTCTGTGGCATGCCTGGGATGAACATCTCGCGAATTCCAGACATTCTGGTTTTGGGAAAGTCTAGAAAGTCTATGTCCAGGCACCTTGAAGCAACTGACATGTCCCAGAAAAGACTTACTTCTCGATTTATGGAGAGCAGTTTCAGGGTTGCGAGATCATGCAAGATCAGCATCCATTTGAGCAACCAAAAACCTGACTCTTGCATGCTTCGCACTTGTGCCTGAACAGAGTAGTTGGGTTAGAGGAGTTTTTGGCAAGCAAGGAACAAGTAGGCAACCACCTACCCATCCACACACGCATGAAGCATACTAGTAAGTAACTAGTAGGATGTAGTCAGGCGATTGAACGAGCACGATGAGCTGCAAATCCAACTAGTCTGGACACAGACACATTGACGATAGTCGCAGGCACAAACAACCATCTATGAGGCCTCTTTCAAGCAAGACTAAGCCATCCCACCTTGAATCAACTTTCAGCTGCCTCTCCCTATATCTACTGGCACAAGTTAAGTGTCACACACTGAAGATCTACAATCGACACATCCATCGGTCTATGTCAACATCGGCTTCAATCGAACAGTTCTTGATCTGAGATCAGCGACCACGAGCACCAGGGCTCGGCCAGCCCCTGACAAGGAACGACGCAGACCTTCAACATGTTTCAACCGAACCTCTTGCAGCATTGCTTTTGACAGTGTTGACGGTGTTGACGTCAATTTCCTTTGATCAAGATTTGATGCTGAACAAATTAGCCGAGTGGCTACAACTTTCTTAGAGTGCTTTCCGATGATCTCTAAGCGTTCGTGCCCAGCCAGGAAAGCTCCATGGAGTCCAGTCCAGGATCTGGGTTCAGTTGCACCTCCGTGACGCTCCAAATGTGGCACCTTCGCCATACTCAAGAAACTCCAGGATTTTCTGGTCAGAAAACAGCTAGATCTGTGCCTTGTAGCTGTCCATGAAGAGTACACATTCTGCCAAATGTAAAGTACATCCAAGCTAACAATCTAGTTGTTCGCATGAACTCAAGAAACCATCTATCTGTTGTATCCATTCATGGTCTTTCTGCAGTCTGCATCTGCATCAGACTTGAAGTCTTGAGCCTGCTATCAGCGACGTCCTTTCCTTACCTGTCCATATAATTGTCATGGAGATGTTGACGCCACACCCTGGGTGTCTTTCATTCGCTTGCGGTCAAATGACTTCAACCCAAGCTCTGCTTGTCGGGGACATTCGGGGACAATTGATCTCTGAAATCACGCTGCGCATGGGAAAACCTGACCAACTCAAGAGCGTCGGAGCTTCCAGGTCATACAGTTTACACTTCAATGTTTTGATGTGTAGTATGTGTAGTATGTGATAGTATTGTGGAATTTGAGAGGTTGCTCCTTAGGGTCAAGGTCCTGGCTACCAGTGTGAAGCTGTCAGGACGAATTTGCCGACATCATCATATCAAGTAAAGTCACCATTTGTTTTTCTCAGCTTTCAGAAGCATTGCTTGATTCCGCAAATTTCTACAAAGCCCGGGAAGAATACAGACCAATCAAAACAAATATTGTCGCTTGGTCTTGTGCTGACGAGATCCATGTGACTTGATCTCATAATAAATATTAGTAAATAGTAGCGCGGAAGAAATGAAAAAGCCTTCCCAGAACATTTGCAGCCTTGCACAGAACTTTCTAACTTGAGGCTCAAGTCTCTTGCATTGGTCTCACTTGTCGCTGCACCTGGATCAAAACAATTGGACCGCAAAGGGCGAGGCAGAGCCAAAAAGCTTTCAGATCTTTCAGTACAAAGTACCAGGCACCAACGGATGAATGTGGGTCAATGTGGGTCAATGTGGGTCAATGTGGGTCAATGTGGGTCAATGTGGGTCAATGTGGGTCAATGTGGGTCAATGTGGGTCAATGTGGGTCAATGTAATGTGGGTCAATGTATCTCCTGCCTGTTCAAAAGCTCGAGCCAAAATTTCAAAGGAAATTGATTTCAGCTCAAAGTCATTGCAGTCAGGCATGTCAGTGGGACTGAACAGCGAAGGTTGCTTAGATGCCAATCCTAAACAAACTGGCTGATCACTTACATCTAGACGACTCTATACATGTTTTATGCCTTTGACATCCTTTGACAACTATGACAAGTCGACAAGTCTTTCAATCGCATTCACTTGCAGAAAAAAGTCAGCATGCGAAAGTTGTAAAATGCAATGGTTGAAATCATGATTGGATTGCAATGGATTGCAACATGTTACTCCGTTGACTGACGGTGGATCTTCATTGGCCTCGTTTGGCTCCTGCTGGCCAAGCCCATCGTGGATCCTTTGCAACGCTTTGGAAAGGCAGGAGTGAAAGATGCAAGGCGGCAGGAAAAAAGGTCAGGAAAGTTGGCTGATGCAGTTCGCCAGCGTGGCAAATCAATACTGATCAGACTTATCAAAGAATCTCGCAACTAGTTTTGGGAGAGTCGGCGTTGATCCCTCGCAAGACATGCAAACGCTCTGCCAATCTTTCCAATCTTTATCCTTCATACAAGCACTCATTGCTAGTGTGAAGTCATCCCCGTATTCCTTTTCATTCCGAGCCTACTCGTTCTACCTCTGCTTCCCTTAATTCTAAGGGTTGTTCCACGAAATGCGTCGGTTCAAGCGTGGCATCAGATTTACTTGCCCGTCTCCAGATTCGCCGCCTCAAGGATATGTCACACTTCCACTGCACTGAAGAATGATGACAGCCGAAGCAAAAATGTCGACCATGCGTCAGGTGGACCAGCAAGACTAGTAAAGAGCAACGAAGTCCAACAAATCAAACAAAATTCAAAAATATTAAAAATGTAAAGCAAGATGTTTGTTCGGACTGTCGACGCACTGTTGTCCCAAAGCATTGGATACGAGACAGCACCAGAGCAAGGACCAGCGAGGAAGACAGCTTACACCTAAAGACCCATTGCCATCCAAATTTGACAAGACCGTCTTCACAGTGGCCTTCCTGAGCATGCGAAGCTCTCTGAGCCTTGCAGTGCCGCTTTCTTTTAGAAAAGAAGTTTGACAAAAATTTAGCAAGGTCAAAAATAGTCCTTGGTCTGTTCAGACGGTTCCGAAGTTCTTGGCGCACTGAAAATCTTGGCTTCGCTGAAGCAACACAGAGATTTTCTGCGAAGATTTAACCCACGTGACAACTTCCTGGCACCAGTGGCACCACTGGCACCAGTGGCACCAGTGGCACCAGTGGCACCAGAAGTCTGGTGGTATCTCAGCATCGAGCCGGACTTGGCACATCTTGGCGACCAGATCCTGGCTGACGAAAGCCTGCCAGAAAGCGTCGACAAAACATCACAAAACGACACAAAACCTTGCCAAGGATGAGTTACACACAAATAAAGAATATATAAACATTAAATATTATATAGAAATTAAGTTTGATTCTGATTGATGTCTCCGGAGATGTCACCAAAATGTCTGACATTTGATGCTTTAACCATCTTTAATCCGGACATGAGACAAACAGCTCTAAATATGACGTAGTGGTAGTTCAAAAATGAAACATGTCAGTGTGTGGTTTAGAACCAGGACACGAACAAAAATCGCAACACACCAGGATGTTTGTCAGAAGTAGCTGAAAAGAGATTCATCTTTTGGAAGATGAATACGGGGAAGAAAGCACAAGGCTTCTTCTGCTGCTCAAAAGCATGATGGGTTCAGCACTGTGCCTTGCCGATCTCGTTTCAAGAGTTCCGGCGTTGCAGCGGCTATGCTAGTTATGCCTTGTTCCTGGCGCATGAACCCGTCCTGATCGCAGTGGAACAAGGATGATAATGTCATCACCTAGTCAGATGCGTGACACACCAAAAGCTAAGAGTTCCAAATCTCCAGCATACTAACTTTGTGTCCTGTGCATTGTTCGGTCTCGTGCAGCACTGAAAGAAGATAGGCATGTCCATATGATTCAATCTGTCCAATAGTATGTCTATACGATATACAACAGCAGATCAGATTATACAACATGCTACAGAATGCTGAGAGATAATACTAGGATCAAATCTCTTCTCCTCCAAGAGAGACACCCGCGCATCCAAACTCATCACCTGTCAGGAGCAAGTTTTGCACCCGTGTTTCAATCTGCGATCGTTTCCCCCCTGACAAGGTGCAAAAATTGAAACAGGAAATACATTGTCAGCCGGGGTGCACTTCCCTTCAGTTTCTGAGGTGCACTGAAATTGCAAAGATAGCAAAGGCACCTCTGCCTAAAATTGAGCGATGCAGTACTATACAAAGCAACCAGAAACAAATATAAACAACCAAAACAACCTAGATTTCAAGAGAAAAACAGAGAAAACAGGCATCTCCCTTGCACTGCTGCGTGTCCGTTGCTCACCTCGTTGTGGACGATTCGCACCTGTCTTGGGGAAAACAAATTACGACCTCGCGATACCAATAATCAAGTGTGATGATAAGCTAATCTATGGCGCACCTATGGATGTTCAAAAAACAGTGCAGTTCAAGACTTAAAGCTGCAAAGCTCAAGATTTTTTTGAAAGTTGAAAATGTGCGGCTTAAAACCGAAATCTCTGTGCAATTTTCTCACCAAGTGCTTGCGCCACGAAAAGCTTGTCTTTTCCGCACCCAGCGTGTGAAGCGCTCGCACTTACCCAAAACGTCCTCGTCCCGCAAAGTGCTCTGCAAGCGGCCTCAATCCAAGGACAAACGGCTGCGACGCAGCAAAAACATGAAGCAAGATGAAGCAAGATGAAGCAAGTATAGCTTGAAAGGGTTGATGTAACATGATGTAGCACTCAAATTGACGCCATGGATCTGCTGAATTCATTGGCAAGAGTATAGATCGTATCTCTTCTAGATTCGCTCCGTTGAGTTATCATTTGCCCGTGTCTGTTGGTGCTCGATACATCGAATTTAAAGGCTGAGTCAATCCCCGTTCACGCATGCTTTAGCTGCTTTGGCAAAGGCTTTTACACTGCACATTCCTCTGATTTGGTCCGTCTTTCATCCGTCTCATGAAAGAAGAGGTACAACACACGAGCGGATGTACTTGCGGACGTTGGCCCGGACTACGACGCAGAGTCGAAGCGCAAAAAGTCTATCTCTGGGAGATGTAGGCGGTCAGGGGCCTTTCGAGATTGGTAAGAAATAGCTAGGCAAATTGATGTTGTTCAACATGTAACAAATATGTAAAGATGCAAAAACCTTGACGACTCCACACTTTTATATAGTTCTCTACAAGGCTCGTTTCGGTGAGCAAGCCGCGGAGCAAGCGAAACTGGTGTGCAAACGGAACGGAGTTCCTATTTCACAAGATGCACAGCCAGCTCAAGCTTTTGCTGGGCAAGCAAGCTGCTAGCGGCTTAATAGCTCTCTGCACAAGAATCTTTGGATTACAGCCACATGTACAGGATCGCAAGACAGCAGCTGAGGACTACCCACGTGCTTTCAAGCTTGCAGTCACTGTTACCATCAAGTTTTTATATGGGTTGCGCTGTCTGTCTCTCGAACAGTCCTGTCTGTCTTGGGGTATGAGAGAAACAAACACAAGCTTGGCTCATAGTTTCCCTATGTTTCCCTATGTTTCCCTCTTGTTCAAAGCTGCAAATTACAGTTTGCAGATGTTTGCAGGGTCTTACCCAAAATCCCCTCGATTTGATAGAACACTGCTGCACTTTTCAGCTATTTCTATGATTAAACTTCACTAGGGCTGCATGGTGTACTGTTCATGAAGAGATGTCTCCTGTCCATAGTCACTGAGCGAATCCTTCAGCTGCTTTAGGTTTGATATCTGTACCAAACTCAGGATTTCGAATGACTTCGAATTGTGTTGCAAGTTGGTCCGCTGGGCGAAATGGGGGGGCAGATTGGCGCCCATGCCTCAGATTCAGACGCAGCCGACCCGGAATCATACGGATGGCTGAGGGCTGAGGAGGGCAGACATCAAGGAATGTCAAGAAAGGTGAGACATTTGCAATTGGCGTTGCTTTGCATCAAGTCGCAGGCTAAAGAATTGCGCCCTTGAATCACTTCGTGCCCTGTATCCACAGAATCTTGCTGTCAAAGTGACACTCAGCCAAACGCCCACCTGGAATGAATTACAAAGCAAATTACGTTCTATACTGGTCGAAATACCATGTTGGGTCTTGAATCTGGCCACAACCCGTAAGGATCAAATTAGATGTATCGTCACTGTTGTTGCTTCAAAATCCTCAAAGACAAAATTCGACATATCGTCATAAATGGTGTCATGACCTCTATGCCCTTGTGTCGTGCAGTTTCAATCACTATTGAGTGGATCGACTTGCCCTTGTAATAACTTGTTCCTCCAGATAGATGTGATGCTGTGTGCAATAAACGCGTTGCTCGCTTGGAAAATTACGATCTTCAATCTCCTTTACTAAATTTCAATCGTCTATATACCACATCTTCTCAACCCACCCCGGCTCCTCTCTGTAAACTCTGTACACCAGCACGTGTGACCAGTGCAAACACCTGAGTTCAAGAAATGTGACGAATGGATCTCTTGCAAATGTGCACGATCTAGATGCACCTGCTTCCGCTAAGCTCCAAGCCTTCTGTTCGACTTCACGACAAATTATCAGCAAAAGACTGAGATTTCCCCAAATCGGTTGTTTCGTCTGAAAATGAAAAGTGCCACAGATGAGCACATGTCGATATCTTTAGGTTTTCGCTTCTCACTGACCGCTGCTCTGGGGTTCCGACAGAACAAGACTTTTTTGCAGAGACGGCCTCTCTCACAGCAGTGAAGTCAAACTGCGCTAGCTTCAATTCAAGACCCAATCTATGCTAGGCTGCACCTTGCATGATGAAGTATCTCTGTTTCCATGCGCCATGTCATGGTCATGTCCAATAATTGCGAAAACATGTCTCAACCTTGAAGGTTTCTCCGTCACATGGTCGGTGAGACCTTAGAGCAACAAACCGGTAACTAACCCGTCCAAATCTTCTGGTTTGCTGAAACTGGATTGGTTACATACAACAGGAGTCCGGCTCAATATGAGCTGCTCTAGGTGGAGAATTGCTGACATTCGGAGTGGTTGAATAGTACACCACCGGTGAATCATTAAGGATAGTCTTGTGAAGCAAATGAATTTATGAATTGGTCATTCAAAAGCTGCAGGCTGGCTATGCACGATCGTAGGAAGAATCTCAGGCTGTTTCCTTTGACAAATAGTTCTGGATGTGCTTGAACACCTCCCGTGGATCCTGAAGTTCTGCAGCAGGGCTGAAGACACTGACAAGAACAACCCCGAACAGCAATTCTTTTTTCGGAGACAGCATCAACAAACCCACGGCTCTTATCGTTATAAACAGACAGCTGCTGGACAGCTGCACTTCTCAAGTTTGTCTCATAGTTTGGTCCTCTATCATGCCAGGTGGCACGTCCCTGGCAGACTGGCAGGTAGAGGTGCTGATTTACAACAGGAAACAGCTGTTGTCGCGGCTTTGTTGAATGCCAGCAAACCATGCCTCGACATGATCTGGTGCTCGATGTTCCTGATCGCCTCCCATTACAAAATATCTTCTGTTCTGGAAGTACATAGAGCACATAGAGCACATAGAGCTTTGAGTCATGGATTGTCACAGTATCCCAGAGATATCCAGAGATGCCTGGAACAGACTCTGCAGCTCCATTTCTCCTCGTGCGTTCTCCATGATCCTTTGGACCTGGCAGGTTTCGTCTCTGGATATTTTGGAGCTGAAACGACAAGGTCAACTACAAGGTCAACTACAAGTACCTGGAAGTATCTGGAAGTATCTAGTGAAGAAGTGTCAAGTTTCGAGTACGTGTTCAGATTTGACCTTTAACAGAAGCCATCATAGCAACGGCTGTCCCGCATGCGTCCTTTTTCGGGTGCAAGGGTTTTATCCTCAGCAAAACAATGTGCGAAACAGCTGTTGCCGAAGGTATGCACAAGGAGAGCACCGAACGGCAGCGCTGAGATGTGTGTGTGTGTGCGCGCGTGTGTGTGATTTCTTTTGGAAAACAATGTCACAACATCAGTAAATCCAGTGCATTTAAAAAGTTAATTTCCTCTGCAAAAAGGTAGCGACCAAAACACATACGGAACAATACCACAATAAATCATTCCAGACCATTATGATACAAAATTGATTCAGAAGAACCCGAATGACTCAAAAGGGTGCAAATCATTCCGTTCCAGAAATGTGTTGCGCCAATCTTGAAATGTTTGGAATATACCGTTTGTCTTCAAGAAACTACTTGTAAAGTGGCAACCGTCCCTCCATGCTCGAAGCGCGACGTTTTGGTTTCAGGTTTGCAGCTCACAGCCCACACCCTTTGCAGAGTCTATTGCTCTGGAAGGCGAGCTGCAAACCTCCCGGCCATGCTGGCGATAACTCGATGGATTCGAAGTCGGGGTGCCAAAATCTGAAATTCATCGGGCAGGAGTTTGCCATCTCGATCCACGTCCTGAGAAGGAAACTTGCAGACTTATTATGATTGTATGATTGTATGATTGTATGATTGTATGATTGTACGTATCTATGGATCTATTGATCTATGGATCTATCTATCTATCTGTCTATCTGTCTAGTCTAGTCTAGTCTAATCTAGTCTAGTCTAATCTAGTCTAATCTAGTCTAGTCTAATCTAATCTAGTCTAATCTATTCTAGTTAAATTTATTAGTCTAGTCTAGTCTAATCTAATCTAGTCTGTTCTAGTTAAATTCACTAGTCTAGTTTAGTTTTGTTTAGTTTTGTCTAGTTTTGTCTAGTCCAGTCCAGTCCAGTCCAGTCGAGTCGAGTCTAGTCTATCTATCTATCTGTCTATCTATCTATCTATCTGTCTATCTATCTATCTATCTATGTATCCATGTATCCATGTATATATCTATGTCTAAGTATAAGTCTAAGTATAAGTCTTAGTATAGGTATAAGTATAAGTATAGGTATAAGTACACGTATAAGTATGAGTGTATGTGTATATATATAATACATATCAATATCTAAATATACGAATGCTCAAAATCCTGCGCAAGTCCATTGTTTTTGAGGGTCCGAAACAATATACTTATCATATCAACTGTATATCTAAACCCTAATATGCCCGATATCCCTCCAAAGGGCTCTGCCAAACCCCAAAGCCACACACCAGCCTCCAGGGGACCTCCCTCTTCCATATCTGGGTAGGTCCCTCAACTTGGGATATGAAGACCAAAAAAAAAAGTAACAATAGTGCTAGAATCTGCTCACTGGAGCTCGGCTGGAAAATATTTAAGAACTAGATAGCCAAAATTCCGCTCCAGGAAATTGACCCCAAAAAAAAACCTCTTGCTCTTTCGCCGTCGTTTTCCTTCGCAATTTTTTTTCGGCGACTTCATTTTGTTCGGCTCGTTCTTGCCGTATTCTTCGTAGGGCTGCGATGGAGCGAGCCAACACAAAAGAGGAAGATCGAACAGGAAAAGAAAAGAAGGGAACAAATCGCCCCAAGGGTTTTTCTTGAAAAAATTGGAGCGTAAGCCCATACAAGGTATAAGTTTGGGCGGTTTGGGTGGGCATCCAGGTGCAAAGCCAACGCGACCCCCTTTTGCCACATGACTTGCGGATGCAGTGCCGGAGTACCGTCAAGACCCCAAGCCGTAAACCCTAAACCCTTACTCATCCCAAAATTACTGCATATAATAGGAAGCGTTTTTGCAACTTCTCTGAACCATGTTGACCCTGCGCCAGATCCTCACTTGCAATGCGTGGGCAAAGTCCAGGCATTGCGTATGTATGTGTTTTTTAATAAAATACATTTTTGTATACGAATATACATATACATATACATATGTATGTATATATATATGTATATATATATATGTATATATATATGTATATATATATATGTATGGATATGTATGTATATAGATACATATGTATAGATAAATGTGTGTATGTATATGTATATATATATGTACATGTATATGTATATATATATGTATATTTATATGTATATTTATGTATATATACATGTATATACATATATGTATATACACACATGTGTATATATATATATATACGTATATATATACACGTATATCTATGTATATGTACATATCTATACATATATATGTATTATATATATATGTAAATTATATATACATATAAATGTATATTTATATATAATTATGTACGTGTGTATATATATATATATGCAAAAATATTTACATGTGTGTATAAATTATGTATGTGTATATATATATAATTATGTACGTGTATATATATATATATGCATATATGTATTGGTGTATTGAAATGTGACACTGTGCACTGAGCTTGTCAACAGGGTCGTGAACCACTTCAAGCCCTACTGAAGTGTGATCTATTGGGAGGCCAAACACTGATTGCAAAACACGCTTTGTCTCAGATTCTTTTGATTGTATGCAATGCCTGCCGAGTCAGGATAACTTCGTGTTTAATTGCTATACTACTGTACTTGTACTTGTATGCAACATCAAAACTGTTTATACTGTCTGAACACATACAATACTGTCAGCAATTAATAAATACATGTGTACATGGATGAAAATGATGAAAGCATGGAAAGGAGGCATCATGTGAAATCAATGCATCTTGGGTTTCTGCATATGTCTATGGATCCTCATGGATCGTTTGACTCTGCGCCTCAGTTTTCTCACGTCCACATGTTTGGCGTAATGCTGCAAGAGTCAGCTTCTCGAAGCCATTTCGATGCCAGTTGCTCAGGTGTCAGCATGCGGACGCCAAATAGACCGAAAGGACCCCGTGCCTCTGACCTGGTATAGACAGAGGGAGAGAGAGAGAGTGTGTGTGTGTGTGAGTGAGTGAGTGAGTGAGTGAGTGAGTGCGTGCGTGCGTGTGCGTGTGCGTGCGTGCGTGCGTGGTGGTGGGTGGGTGGGTGGGTGTGTGGGTGGGTGTGTGTGTGTGGATGTGTGTGTGTGTGTTTGAGTGTGTGTTCTTGCACATGTCACACACATTCACATTCCTTTCAAAAAAAATGAATCAAAACCTGCAAGTACTCTGCAATCAAAATCCATCAAATCCGCCGACCCCGGCCTTCGCCAAGGCCGGGGCGGCGCCTGGGACCACCGCAGGTGTGGAACTTTTCCGCGCGGGCTTTAAGTGTGCGCGGCAGCTTCCACCAAGCCTGGCCGTCAGCCTTTGCTGCTCCAGGGTTGCAGCCTGGCCCTTTGCCTGCACATCCCTCGCGGCAGCTTCCACCAAGCTCCTGGCCGTCAGCGTTCCAGCATTGCAGCCTGCCCTTTGCCTGCACATAGCCCTCTCTTGTTAGGGCATTCGAGCCTACCGTTTGCCAGGCTTCAAACCCATAAAATGCCTCAAACCCTCCTTTGCCTGCACATAGCCCTCTCTCGTTAGGGCATTCGAGCCTGCCGTTTGCCAGCCTTCAAACCCTTAAAACCCCTCAAACCCTCCGCGGCAGCTTCCACCAAGGCCTCTGGCCGTCAGCCTTTGCTGTTCCAGGGTTGCAGCCTGCCCTTTGCCTGCACATCCCTCGCGGCAGCTTCTACCAAGCTCCTGGCCGTCAGCGTTCCAGCATTGCAGCCTGCCCTTTGCCTGCACTTAGCCCTCTCTTGTTCGGCATTCGAGCCTGCCGTTTGCCAGCTTCTACCAAGCTCCTGGCCGTCAGCGTTCCAGCATTGCAGCCTGCCCTTTGCCTGCACATAGCCCTCTCTTGTTAGGGCATTCGAGCCTGCCGTTTGCCAGGCTTCAAACGTTCCAGCATTCCAGCCTGCCCTTTGCCTGCACTGAGCCCTCTCTTGTTCCCTAACAAGCCCAACACGCGCCACTGCCGCACGCAAAAGCCACCACAAGGCCACAGCAATGGCTCAAGGGCACCCCAAGGCCGCAGCAATGGCTTCTTATACGCGTTCAAGGCTGCCGTTTGCCAGGCCTCAAACCCTCCAAAACCCTCCAAACCCTCCAAAAGTCCGGCCAGCTCCGCAAGGAAAAGGTACCCCAACAAGCCCAACACGCGCCACTCCCGCACGCAAAAGCCACCACAAGGCCACAGCAATGGCTCAAGAGCACCACACGGCCGCAGCAATGGCTTCTTTTATAGGCGTTCAACGCTGCCGTTTGCCAGGCCTCAAACCCTCCAAACCTTCCGCCCAACATGCGCCACTCTCGCACGCAAAAGTCACCACAAGGCCACAGCAATGGCTCAAGACCACCCCACGGCCGCAGCAATGGCTTCTTGTAGGCGTTCAAGGCTGCCGTTTGCCAGGCCTCAAACCCTCCATACCCTCCAAAACCCTCCAAACCCTCCAAACGTCCGGCCAGCTCCGCAGGGAAAAGGTACCCCAACAAGCCCAACACGCGCCACTCCCGCACGCAAAAGCCACCACAAGGCCACAGCAATGGCTCAAGGGCACCCCACGGACGCAGCAATGGCTTCTTATACGCGTTCAAGGCTGCCGTTTGCCAGGCCTCAAACCCTCCAAACCCTCCAAAACCCTCCAAACCCTCCAAAGTCCGGCCAGCTCCGCGGGGAACAGGTACCCCAACAAGCCCAACATGCGCCACTCTCGCACGCAAAAGCCACCACAAGGCCACAGCAATGGCTCAAGAGCACCCCACGGCCGCAGCAGTTCAAGGCTGCCGTTTGCCAGGCCTCAAACCCTCCCCCTCCAAACCCTCCAAACCCCCCAAAAGTCCGGCCAGCTCCGCAGGGAAAAGGTACCCCAACAAGCCCAACACGCGCCACTCCCGCACGCAAAAGCCACCACAAGGCCACAGCAATGGCTCAAGAGCACCCCACGGCCGCTACTCCCGCACGCAAAAGCCACCACAAGGCCACAGCAATGGCTCAAGAGCACCCCACTTCCGCAGCAATGGCTTCTTTTATACGCGTTCAAGGCTGCCGTTTGCCAGGCCTCAAACCCTCCAAAACCCTCCAAAAGTCCGGCCAGCTCCGCAGGGAAAAGGTACCCCAACAAGCCCAACACGCGCCACTCCCGCACGCAAAAGCCACCACAAGGCCACAGCAATGGCTCAAGCGCACCCCACGGCCGCAGCAATGGCTTCTTATACGCGTTCAAGGCTGCCGTTTGCCAGGCCACAAACGCTCCAAAACCCTCCAAACCCTCCAAAAGTCCGGCCAGCTCCGCAGGGAACAGGTACCCCAACAAGCCCAACACGCGCCACTCTCGCACGCAAAAGCCACCACAAGGCCACAGCAATGGCTCAAGAGCACCCCACGGCCGCAGCAATGGCTTCTTCAGCAATGGCTTCTTATAGGCGTTCAAGGCTGCCGTTTGCCAGGCCTCAAACCCTCCATACCCTCCAAAACCCTCCAAACCCTCCAAAAGTCCGGCCAGCTCCGCTGGGAACAGGTACCCCAACAAGCCCAACATGCGCCACTCTCGCACGCAAAAGCCACCACAAGGCCACAGCAATGGCTCAAGAGCACCCCACGACCGCAGCAATGGCTTCTTTTATAGGCTCACGCGCCAATCCCGCACGCAAAAGCACACAACGGCCACAGCAATGGCTCAATTGGGCACCCCACGGCCGGCAGGCAATGGCTTCTTATACGCGTTCAAGGCTGCCGTTTGCCAGGCCTTCCAAAACCCTCCAAAACCCTCCAAACCCTCCAAAAGTCCGGCCAGCTCCGCAGGGAACAGGTACCCCAACAAGCCACTCCCGCACGCAAAAGCCACCACAAGGCCACAGCAGTGGCTCAAGGGCACCCCACGGCCGCAGCAATGGCTTCTTATACGCGTTCAAGGCTGCCGTTTGCCAGGCCTCAAACCCTCCAAAACCCTCCAAACCCTCCAAACCCTCCAAAAGTCCGGCCAGCTCCGCAGGGAACAGGTACCCCAACAAGCCCAACACGCGCCACTCTCGCACGCAAAAGCCACCACAAGGCCACAGCAATGGCTCAAGAGCACCCCACGGCCGCAGCAATGGCTTCTTCAGCAATGGCTTCTTATAGGCGTTCAAGGCTGCCGTTTGCCAGGCCTCAAACCCTCCATACCCTCCAAAACCCTCCAAACCCTCCAAAAGTCCGGCCAGCTCCGCTGGGAACAGGTACCCCAACAAGCCCAACATGCGCCACTCTCGCACGCAAAAGCCACCACAAGGCCACAGCAATGGCTCAAGAGCACCCCACGACCGCAGCAATGGCTTCTTTTATAGGCGTTCAAGGCTGCCGTTTGCCAGGCCTCAAACCCTCCAAAACCCTCCAAACCCTCCAACAGTTCGCATAGCTCCGCAGGGAAAAGGTACCCCAACAAGCCCAACACGCGCCACTCCCGCACGCAAAAGCCACCACAAGGCCACAGCAATGGCTCAAGGGCACCTTCCGGCCGCAGCAATGGCTTCTTATAGGCGTTCAAGACTGCCGTTTGCCCGGCCTCAAACCCCCCAAACGCTTCCGCAGGCCTCCAAGGCAACAACTCTTACAGCTACATGCCCCTGCCATCTGTTTTTCAGGGAGTTCAAGACTGCCGTTTGACCGGCCTGAAACCCTCCAAACGCTTCCGCAGGCCTCCGAGGTAACAACTCTTACAGCTAACCCCCCCAAATGCTCCCCTGCAGCTCCCATGCCGTTTGCGAGCTCCGGCATTGTCCTTTTATGGTGGTTCAAGCCTAAACCCCCCAAATGCTTCCCTGCAGCTCCCATGCCGTTTGCCAGCCCCGGCATTGTCCTTTTATGGTGGTTCAAGCCTGCCGTTTGCCAGCCCGCAAAAGGCGATGATGAGGCGCCACAACTCGTGGCCCTGGCGCGGCAAGCTCAGCAGCTTCCGGAGATCAGTACCCTTGATTATCCCTGAGTTTCAAAATCAATGATACTCTACCACCAATCATACAATGATAGGAGGCCAAATATGCTTAAAAATATGAACTGAGGTCTGACTTCAAATTTGTAGCGTCATACTCATTGCATACACATTGCACCTTGTGATTGAATTGCGGCATGTTGGGGCATATCAAAACATATATGTCCATGTCTGTCCCACCATGTACCACCATCGACCTCAGCACGACCCGCCGGAAGCGATGCGCCACTGACCCACTGAACCGCTGATGCCGTCGGATGCCGTCGGAGTATCTATCTCTCCCTCTCTATCTATCTATCTCTCCCTCTCTATCTTTCTCTCCCCCTCTATCTATCTCTCCCTCTCTATCTATCTATCCATCTATCTATCTATCCATCCAGCTATCTATCCATCTATCTCTCCATCTACTTATCTGTCTATCCAACTGTCTATCTATCTATCTGTCTATCTCTCTCTCTCTCTCTCTATCTCTCTACCTATCTATCCATCCATCCATCCATCCATCCATCCATCTATCTATCTCTCTCCCTCTCTCTGCAGGACCCCCCAAATAGGGGGGGTCGGCGGCACCCGGGCGCTAGCCCATTCTATTTCCAATTCTTTTTTATTTTTTTCATCATCATTGTTATACTTAAGGTTTAAGTTGATCATTGAAAATTTCAAAAAACAACTATTCCCCAAATGATCGATTTCTAATTAAAATATTTGTGAAAATCATCAGTTTGGATAGCTCCCAAAGGGGTACCCCCCATGAGCCCATGTCCCCCATTAATAATAACCACGGTTTGCCCCTGATTTATCAACCCCCTTTCTGATCCATGAGATTTTAACAAATCCAATGGAATTCTATTAAGATCTAATTGACGTAAGCCATATCCAAAGTTTTATGGTTCAGAATTTTATGGTTCAGGGTGCATTTATTTAGGGGTGGTCAAGAAAACTAGCCAGAAGGTACCCCCCCTACCTTCTGGGGG